AAGTTGCGAGATCCTCTATTTATTTTCAAAAAAACAAAAGTTGGCCAATGAACAATCATCGACGATCATCATTACGTCATCGTAAATAACACATAAATACGTCATACCAAGTGATCTAGCTCTATGAAATTATGAAAGAATAAGCGATTTATAAGAATTTATTAATAAATTGTGTATTTATGAAATCTAATTTTCTAGAAATCTAACAAATTTATGCATAATACTAAATTTTACACAAATAATGCAAACACATGTTCATATTCCAATATTTTATAACAAAGCAAGTATTCTACAATTTAATTCACATTTGCACATTTAATGCAAAAACTTTGTCCTACTCAGTTTGTCGAAAATCATGTCTTGTTTAAAGATTAAATTCGCTAAAAATGTTTGTGATTAAGTTTGCTGCGGAGAATTATGACCGCAGTTAAAGCTGAGAACAAAACGACACACAAAACAATGCATTATAATATATTCACAGTCAGTCTTTTTATAAGCTTTGCATTCAACTCCTATGTATAATATTAAAAGAAAGTATATCAAACAAGAAAATCTAATGAATAATTTACAATTAATAAAGAATCACTTTTAAATTTATTTAAGCTGTTAATGGATTTATTTGTATTAATATTTTCCTTTCAGCAAAATTATTTAACAAAAATCAAATACTTAATGATAATGTGATCTTTAAAGACACTAAGGTTGCAGGATAAAACCTTATTCCTATTTGGCAAAAATCGATGGTTTCGACAATTTTCGACGGTTTGATAATTTCGACGAATTTCAATAGATTTTAAAATTTCGACAATTTGACTAACAATTCGATTTAACTAAATTTGATTTGCTTAATTTTACCTCAATTTCGTAGTGTGATGATCCATTTTCATGTCTTATTATTAATATTTCAGACTACAATTGCTAGTTCCGTTTAGTGAAACATTAAAATAACACCCATGGAAATTAAACTTTACAAACTTCCTATAAATGATAAAATAAAATAAATAGATACAGTAAACTTTCCTAAATTAGTAATTATTATTACTTAATTCCTCGCCATACCTTTTTTTTAATAGATATCAAATTTTTAATTAGATTTCCTTCCGTAACAAGGGACCTTCCTTCTATCATCCATTTCTTTCATATGTTTATAACAAGAATAACTTCTTCATAAATATGTTGATTGTAAATAGTGGTTCTAGTTGTATAATGGATTCTACGCCTGTTTATATATTATTTGTTTTAAATAATAAAAGCGCTGTTGTAACAAATAAGCTTTTTTTTTGTTCAATTATAAGAAAAATGATTTTATGTGTAATTTAGAAGTTATTAGTTATAAGGTTAAAATCTAAAAAAAAAAATATATTTAATAATTTCTTTTAAATCCAGTCCATTAGATACATACTTGTTATTCCATACTTCGTTGCGGATTATGGGCTTACGCGCATGTGACTTATCTATATATCAAAAATATATGTTTTTTGGAATGTCGGTGAAATGTTCGTCGGTAGAACGTTTGTCGGCGAAATGAAAATGTCGGTGATATAATCGTCGGTGAAACGTTTGTCGGTGAAATGTTCCTATCTGTAAAAGTTTGTCGTTGAAATAATGGTCGGTAAATTGTTTGTCGGTGAAATGAATGCGGCCCGGTGTTTTTAAGACTTTATTTTTATTTGTTACAAGTCTATCATTTTATCAAACTCTCATATTAATGTATATAACTATTTTTGCTAGTTTATGTTTTGATTGGATAGTTTTAGGTCGGACATTGGCATAATAAGTCAGCCGCACCGATGATTTCCTTGTTCGGGATGTCAAGTATATTCTGATCGGCTTTATAGTTTGAAAGGTCTTCAACGTTTCGAATTAAAGACTTGAGTTTTGTTATCTTACAACTCCTTGTTTTAATACCAAAAGTAATTTTACTAATAAAGACTTTTTAAATGAACATAATATTAAATTTAATAATTTATTTAGAAGTTAATTTTTATTTTGATCCTTAAATAATAATCGAGCAAGATTCAGAATAGTAAAATAAAATATTTTTCCATACTTTATAAACGAAATAAAGTCGAAAATTTTTTATATAATAATATTTTTTATAATTGTTTTTTTAGAGAGTAGTTAATATTTAGCAAGCGCAATGCCAACGTGAATGATATCTATCATCATACTTTATTACGAGTTGCTCAGTAATGGTTGCTTTTGATTTATCGTGGAAGTATTTAATCAGTAAACAGGTCTTTAGAAATGATTCCGGAGTTAATAAATATCAGATTAAACAGGGTCTTTAATAGAAGGAAATGAAGTTAACACCACCATACGAAAGAAACGTGCGAAGAGTTATTAATTTTATTTTTTACTACGGAGCTGGATATTTCACTTATGCTTACATTCTGACCAAGCGTATGTCGTATACATATTAGTTACGAATTATAAATTTATTAAGACATCAAATTATGCTAATTTTTCGTTCTCCGCACTAGTCAATATGATATTGAAACAATTCACGGCTATTTTTAATATGATGAATAAATTATACAATTTGATAGTTTGATAGCATATGAGATTATGCTTATGTGCTTACATATAGAAAAAGAGAAAATTAGCAGCAAGTATTCAAATAATTTGGTAGTAATATTGACTACTATTGTTGAACGGAAAAATTCCTCTTTTAAAAATTTATACATTCTTGACGAAGAGGACATCATTTCCGGATCTATTATGTTTTGTAAAATTTATACAAAATGAATAAAGAAGAAAAGTAGTAGAATTAATAAAGATTATATATTTATATATTAAACTCTCCGGGTATTTACAAAGTTATTAAAAATTAAAGAACTTCATATCTCTGATGTAAGTACCTAAGTTAAGATTCAAGTTATTAAAGGTTTCTATTATATTAAATGAATTTTTGAACTCGTAAATGATTTTCTTATTCTATTTTTGATTTTAAGTAATTTAACTTTATCGCTATAAATAAATTAAAAAATATATATATATATATTTGAATTAACGTTAAAATTTGGAGATGCTTTTATTATTTTTAAAAAAGTTGCATACGAGCTATTAGATTATTGGTCGACTTTATTATTCCTGAAGTTTAGATTAAATTACAAATTTACTAATACTCATTCAATATATTTATATGGAATTTAAACGAACATCCGATTGAAATTAAAATTACATTTGGCAGGTTCGGTAATATTTTAACATTGAAATTAATTTGACTGTTTTTTATAATTTTTTAATTTAAATAATTATTGTTGAAATTTCAGAAGCATACTAGTTCGATTTATTGTATCTCCCATTTAATTAAACATATACATTTCAATTAGATCGAATTCAAGATTGTTATATTATTTTTTTCAATATTAAATGGAAAGTCAGTATTAAAATTATAAATGGTTATAAAACTCAGATTTATTTTTATATTGTGAATATGAATACATGCCAATACCAACCTAAGGAATGTAACTTAAGTATTGGAAATGAATTCATAGATAAATATAATATTTGCTTTAAAAACATATTTCATAAGATCTAATTAAAAATAAAAACGCTACGAGTTCCTTTCAGTAAATACAATTTTTAAATCAATCGGCCTTAATAAAAAACTAGGCTCAAGCATCAATTTCTCCTTATGAATGCTATTTTCAGGAAGAGTCCATTTATACTTGAGCACTATAAAGAAATTGTAAATAAACTTTCACAACAGTTTATAAAAGTAATAAAGTGTTATACTTACAGCACATTGAAAGAATAACTTTTTGTTCCATCAAAGTAAAATTTTGACCGATACTACAAAATTTAAACGAGATTAACTGATGGGATAACGGTACATTAAACGAATTGTTTATTAATAGTGGTACATGCCAGTTTCGAGGTCCAGTGGAAAATGGAATCCAAGAAAATGGGTGTATTTTTTCACCATTTAAAAACCTGTCCGGGTTATATTGTTTGGGATTTTTCCAGTATTTTGGGTTATGATGAATTTGCCAAAGATTGGCAGAACATATAACGTTTGCTGGTACGACATGAGAACCAATTTTAAGGGGCTTTGCTAGTTTTCGAGGGATAATTAATGTTGCTGGCGGATAAATTCGTAAGGATTCTTTAATTATTGCAATGAGATATTTCATTTTCTAGAAAGTGGGTGGGATTTTGCTTTATTTAAGTGATCTTTGCAAAATACGAAAAGACTGGTATATTTACCTCTAATTGTTCCGAAGTAGGTATGATCGGTTCGTTTCCAAGTATTTTAATTACCTCTTTTCGTGCTCTTTCTTGCATTTCCTACGCATTAACATTTTTTTTATTTTAATAAATATTATTGACTCAAAATAATAGCGATTTAATTATTTAATTTAATTATTGTAAACTTACCGGATATTTTGCAAGAAAGTAGAATGAGGTATTTAACCCCATTGAAGTTGCTATTCGATTGATGGTTGGTTATTAACATCATAATTAATCATCAACGTATTAAAATCAAAATATACTTACTGTCGTGGCCTGCAACGAAAAAATTCGCCATCTCATCTCTTAATTGTTTTAAATCGGTACTAATTCCTTCCCGATTGCTAAGCTCTATCATACTTGTTACCAAGTCAATCCGACCATTCTCGGAACCTTTCTTATTTTCGATTGCATTTCTCTTTTCCATAATAATATCATAAATGAACTCATCAAATTCATCAATAGCTTTGAAGAATTTTCGATTTTCTTCTGTTGGTAATTTATTTAATAATGGAAATACGAGACGTCGACCAGATTCTATGGTCGAAATTATATATTTATAAACACTTATAATATGAGAAGTTTCGGATTTCAAGCACTAAAATTTGTTGATCGCGATGTTAAATCACGTGTTTGACCATATAAAATAAAAAAATGAAATACTTGCACCAAATTGATATCCAAAAGCCAATTTTCCAAACACTTCGATCGTGGTACGTTGCATGAGTTCAAATAAATCAATGTGTCCACTTGAATGTTGTTGTATAAAATCAAATTGTTCATATACAGTTTCCCCGACAATTTCAGGAGACAACGCTTTATTGAATGCTGGAGTAGCTAATTTTCTATGAGTTCGCCATTTCTATCAAATGATTAATTTCTTCAGAATTAACTCGAAAATTTCTTAACAAATTTCAATTAGGAGCAAAATTTATGCATACGTCGCCATTCGATAAAGGCAGTCCGTTTCCGAAAAATTTAATAGCAATACTGTCGGGTGGTAAGTACTTGGGAGCATCATCCTCTGTAAAATAGTTAAAAGGTGTCTTTTCTTATTTTGAGTATTTAAAGAAATTCTTTACTAGTTACATTTAGTAATGCTTACCTGATGCCATATATAAATCTCTAAGACAATCAGGATTTGAGAAACCTAGTTGAGTCATATTGCCAAAACGAAACTAAAGGAAATAAATTATTATGCATAATAATATAAATATAAATATTAAGATAGAACACGCAATAATTTTCAACGAATAATGTTAATGCTACATACAAGATAAATATCATGACCTCCGGAAGATTTTGCGATCAAATCTTGAATTTCATCTTGATGCTTTTGTTGTAATAATGCCCATAATACAGGTAAGATAGAAATAAACGGAACATCTTCAAGTCCTTTTGGTTTTTTATAAGAATAAATTATAACAAGAAAAACTAAAATTAAAATGATGAAAGAGATTAAAAAGAGCATCATTATTATTTTATGTTTATATTTTATTTTTTATTTTTTATTTTTTTTCTTTCTTTCTATAATTTGAAATTCCGATTTATATATATTTAAAAATTTAAACATTTTTGGCATAAGATAAATTAAGTTTATAATAGTATTGAATGGATAATTATGGAACAAAGCATGATTAGCAATAAATTAAATTAATTTGTGGCACGTTAAAATTTCACCATATATGTATTGTTTCCCAATTTAGAACTTTTAATGTACCGGTATAATACTGACAGTACAAAGGGAGACATTAAAATGGGAGATTTGTAAAATAAATTACTAAATCCAGTAAATTAACAATCCAACTTTTCCGATGAAGGTCGCACTGATCGTCATGCGTCAATGTAACACTAATATTTCAAGCTTGACAGATTTTAAATTTGTGAAAATTCCATAAAATTAAAATGATATTATAATGGCTTATAAGAATTACTTATTTTCAGTTTAAATAAGGATATACTCTCCTGTCCTGTAGCACAAAGAACATTCGTGTCATATCAACTATGATGATCATGTCGGCTTGTTCCGATTTTTAAATCTGTTATGAAACAAATTTCATTTTTACATGTTATTGACTGTGTCAAGTCGGTTATTACTTCTTAATATTATGGGACATTGAATGATTATGTAATACATTTATATATATTTATTTAAAAAATATCAAAATCTCCTCAAAAGCTCCAATTTTTTTTAAAAAATAAAAAAATTCAAAAATCGTTTCTTTAAAAAATTTTTAAATAATAATTAAACCAATTTCGATGTTTCTTTTAGGTGTACATTTATTTTTTATAATAATTGGTAAAAATATTTTATAAAACAATAATCCTTGTAGTTAAGTTTTTATAGTATAATTCCTTATGTAGTGATACAAATCAACCTCAGCCTAATTGACCCGACCGACCAAGCGAATTGAATACAGTCTGACCGCATAGACCATTATATTCTATACTTAGTAATTGTTATTCCGATACTGCGCTATTATGTTCTAAAAAAAAATCTAATTATATATTATTTATTCATGATTTTAATTATATTTTGATTTTTTTTAATAAATATTACCCGCTTACTAATTGTTCGCCCGTGATGTTTCATATTGATATATTATCGGATTCACTATCGGAGTTGAAATTTCGTGAAAATATCAACATGACGCAATTACCGTGATATATCAAACGAAAATCGTACCGCAAAATATTTAATATATTTATTTAATAAGCTTGATATAGAAAAAAGCATTTTTTAAAATATTACATTATTACAAGCATTTATGATTAACGAAATATACATTATTTAAAGTAAAAGTTAACATTTTGAAAGTGACATTTATTAAACAACGGAACATTTTCTTTGCTACTATTATTGAAAGGCATATTAATTGGTAAATCTTATGATTCAAGATTTATAATTTGTAACGGTTTCTTATTGTAATCTTGCACAGGAAATAAAATTTCCTTTTCAATGTCAGTATTTTTGGATTTTTTAGGTTTTAAACATAAATTATTTAAAAAGTTGACGAGCAGTATTAAATTTTACGGTCTTCTTGAATTCATTTTTTAAGAAATGTAAAAAAAAAATTATTTATAATATAAAAACAGTATTTACGTCACAATAACATGTGACTTATATAATTCATGTGATTTTTCTTATCACGGGCGTTAGTAATCGGGAAATATAATAGTTATTTACCGCTCAATCGCCGACATCATCAGGGTCACGGGTGCGCCGTGACGCCTGATGATATCTCTGATTTCGCGGTAAATAACTAATACTAATTACACGGCCATATATGATCATGATTATAAGCTATTAATAATAACAATGCAATATCGATATACATAATTTTTTATTATATACTATAATAAGTGATTAAGAATTATTATTTACCTTAGGTACGATGGTTTTATTGTTCCTTAGGTTCAATAATATGGAAAGTAATATCTTTTAAAAAGCCGGAAGTGAGGAATTATTTTCCATAAATTTACTTTCATTTATCGAAGTTTGTTGACAAAATTCTTATTTTGGTTATCTTGGTGAACTTTTTGCGATTCTACAGATTATAAATATTGGTTAATTTTTATAAAAAAATGCATAAATTAAAATGATAAAATATAAACCTTGATAAAAAGAAAGAGCTGAGGTGAAATTTTTGATTTAATTGATTATCTAAAAATAAAAAAATAATAAATTTGTAATTTAATTTAAATTTAGAATAATTATATTTACCGATTTTATTAGATTGTGTTACAGTACATTAGAAATAGCTTGTATTAAATTTTTTGAACTAATTTCTTATAAAACATCGTGAGATCATTCATATGATACTAATCCTTTAATAGTTTTGTGTCTTGATAAAGCCATAACCTCTGGATCTGAAGCCTATTCGAATTTAAAATTATAACAACTGTTTTTCGTCCTGAATGGTTACTAATAAAACGATTTTTAATATTGATACCAGTAGATTTGCATATATCACTCATAAATGAATGAAAACGAATTTGTCCAATATGTGATTTCTTAAACCAGTTTCCAGTCTATTTGCTATATTAAAAAAATAATAAAATATTTATCATATTCTAAAGGATTTGACTGTAAATAAAATTGCAAATCAGCGTCAACTGGTCTTTTTTTTAAAGTAATTATCGTAATCCTGTATTATATTAAGATCATCACCTGAGATATACAGAATATCAGCTTGTGCTTCAGATCGATTTATATTTCTCTGATTTGCTTTTAATTCATATAAACATACAATAAAACCATCATCATTCTTTTTATTAAAATTTGATGCTAATAATTTATAATGCTTGCCTCCTATTAGCAATAAAAAAATTGCATTTCTAAAAAAGCCTGATATAATGACCCTTCTAGTGTAGATTTATCTAATCAAGAATGTTTAAAAATCATAGCAACTTAATTTGACTTAAAGGAGAAGCAGCCCTTTATTCACCTAGTTTCTGCCTTGCAAGTTATTTAAAATTTTCATTAATTACTTGCTGAAACTTATAGAATTTCTCTTGATTTAATATATTTACTTAATAAATTACAGAATGTTCAAATAAATGTCATACAATAGAATAAACTTCAACTTTTAACAGATTATGCTTTATAATCTTTTCCATTAACTATTCATATTGCTATAATAAATTTAATGATTTATTCTTTAAGTTCATTTTCATTATCAATTTCTTTATTTTTTCCATTTAAATTTATATTTTTTCAAAACTTTTCTATTTGTATAATCCAGTTATTAGTAGACTTATCAGTTAAAAGACAATAATTAGAATGAACTATTGCTTTAATTTCTTTAATACTGGATTCATTATATTTAAAAGTTGGCTAGATAAAAATAAAATTTAAATATTGCTTAAAATTGTTTGAAAATAAATAATTATAAAGATAATATATATCTTTATATCTAGTTTTTGTTTTGCTTTTAACATAATAAAAATATATAAATGGTAAAAAAAAAAAGGGAAGAGATAGAAAAAAAATAGTAAAATAATATTTTATTATGTTCAGAACCAAATAATTATATCGTAACTTTATAGGTAATTGTTGTTACTTTACAGTTCATGCGAGTTATATTTAATTAGTCAGAATTTTAATACTTAATGATAAAATCTTAACTAATTAAATAAACTCTTATAAACTATGAAGTAATCAACAATTACTGTAAAGTTACTATTAATAATGCTACAATTAAATTTATAATAATAACTTTATAATATTAATAATATAATATTTTGATAATAAGCCATTATGATATTATGCCTCATTTATTTTTTCTTTTTAAATTTTTTAAAAAAAGTTAGTAAACTCTTTATTTTAAATTTTGTTATATAAACCTTGCAAAAAAATTCTTTTAAACAAAATGTTTGAATATAAATGTAAAGTAAAATATTCTAATAAAATAAAAAACTAATCAAATTTTATAATATATGTTCTAAATGATATTAAATATACATGTATAAATTATACATTAACTCAATTACAAACAATTCAGTATCTACTACTTCTTGCAAAATTTTTTATTTCCTCAAATATATTTTCTTTCATTTTTTGAATAATAGCAACCTTTCTATTAATATACTATTATAGTCTCTAGTGAAAAGAATAGCAGTTAAATACTGCATTTATTTTAGATTAAAGCGTTGTTAAGCTTAAACACTACGTCGTTAGGATAACAAAGCTTATTTGCTAACAGGGAGTTTAAGTTGTAAACTATGAAAGAAATAAAC